TTGCACAGGACAGAAAAAAAAGATCCTCACTATGTTTTGATTAAGTGGATTTGACAATAAGGAGGTAAACAAATGCCATTGGTTGCTTTGTGGATCATGAAAAAGCTAGCATATGTGAGGAACTGCTACTAAAGATGTGTATTAGTATTAAAAAGGAAGAATTTGGAAATTTAGGAAGCAGGTGAAAAATATCTGAAAGTATGGTGAAAAACAATTGAAAATTTTTATTATTCCAGACAAATCTTTTGTACATTCTCCTCAACTTCATGTTAAAAGTAATGTTTACAGCATTTACTTTTCCCCGTTGTGACTGGAATACAGCCTTTTCCACCAAGGATTGTTACACTCTTCAAAAAGCGAGTGTTTATACTGTCTGTGTAGTTAAAAGAGGCATAGGAGTCAAAACTTCCTGTAAGAGTTCAGTCATAAATGTCCTGTTTCAAAATTGCTTATATACTTGAGATGGTGTTAATAAATCAGCATTAATAAATGCTTAACATTTTAGCTGACAATGAGGCTTGAAAATGAACCTGCAGATATTTTGAAGGATTTTTTATCACTAATGAAAATATGATATCTAACCTCATTAATTACATCATACATTTAATGGCCAAAACCATATATAAGCTGAGAGAAGCTGACATTGAAAAATGCTGAACATTGATGTTTCTTGGGGTGGAGAAATTGCTGAAAAGTTGTTAAACACACATAAACCTGAGTAGAGTAATAACATGAATGATGACAACAGTGGCTATATTGTGAACACAGATGGAAAAAATCGCTGAAGGCATTAGGGTAAGGGGTGGAGAAATTGCTGAAAAGTTGTTAAACACACATAAACCTGAGTAGAGTAATAACATGAGTGATGACAACAGTGGCTATATTGTGAACACAGATGGAAAAAATCGCTGAAGGCATTAGGGTAAGTAATTAAACAGCAATTGCTTAAGCAGAAATATATGTTAATAAGACAGATGACACAGTAGAAATCTTTTCAAAAGGCTGACTTGGATAGTGTTGCTTTATCACTTAAGAATCTTGATCCTGGCCCACCATCAATGTCTAATTCCAACCTGATGGGCCATTCTGTTTAAGATCCTTGAGCAACCAGATGTAATGGATATTTATTGTACATATGTATAACACACATATATACACAGGTATTTAACTTTGTGTGATTTTGTACATATTTGAAAGTTTATTGAATGTTTTTCTTTAAAAGGGGAAGTAATAAAGTATTTATAATCTGTACAGTTCTATTTTTCATTTGTCAGTTTATTACTACATGTAAAATTACATAAATTATTGTCATACAAATGAACTATAATACTGTTTACAGTGTTTATTTATTCCACTTAACATGACTATTCATACATTTTTCTAAACAAATATTAATGTATTTAATGACAGGGTGCTGTTATGACCTTTGTAAAATCTAGAAATTCTGAATTACAAAATATGTCTCATGTCAAATGTTTTAAGTAAGAATGGTAGACGTGTACTATAAAAAAGAAGGAGGTGGTGACTTCTGGAATAGCAGAGTAAGAACCTCTGAAAATCTGCTCTTCTATAAAAGCAACAAAACACTGACAAAAGTTGTCAAAAATAGCTTTTTTAGAACTCTAGAAATTAAAGGTTTACAATAATCCTAGGAGCATTTTGAGAAAAATGGCTGAATCTCAGAACAGTGAGCTTTGTGGCATTTTAGCATGCCCACTTTCCATCCCCCTTTCCCCAGTTCTGTGGTAGCCTTGGAAAAGCTTTTAATACAGTAACTGTGAAAACAGCAGCCTAGTGACCATAGAAGGGACAGAACAGGTTTTCAGCCCCCCCAATAGCCCCAAGCCAAAGTATTGTCATCATTTATCCTCTTCGGCAGTTCCTTGAAAAACTTCATTCTTTAAGGCTTGTCTTTATTTGACCTGTCTTAGAGTTTGCTCAGTGTGAAGAATCCTATCCCCAGGGTTTTGTCAAGGATAATAGTTTAATATCACAGCTCCTGGAGGCACTGTTACCAGTTGGCACTGAAAAGAGCCTAACCAAAAAACTTAAAAGGAAACAAGACTGAGCTGACCATAATAAGCTGTGAAAATCTCTGACATTTTCTAGGAATCTGGAATGATGCTCACAAGCAGGGCTGTGCACATACCTGAGAAAAATGGGAAAATGACCTATCTCTTATTTTTGTGACCTTGAGGGTTTGTGCTAGCAGGAAGTGAAGGCTAAGTCAGAGTTACAGACTGCCCACAGAAGTGTTGAAAGCATGGCCCAACATACAGCACCTCAGCAAAGGCTGGGAGACTTACTGGTTTAAGGCGTTTAAGGAAATCTATTCAGTTGTTAGTAAGCGACTTCAGTAGCTGCACACAGCAAAGAATACAGGTATTGAACAGTTAGTTAAGGAAAGTCACTTAAATGCATCATTAAACCCTGGGGAGAGGGAAGCATACAGAGAATCTCATTTCCAGAGTTGCCACAGTATATTTAAACTTCCATTTTCCACCAAAAATTATGAGACACACAAAGGAACAGGAAAGTATGGCCCATACACACAAAAAAGGCAATCAATAGACACTGTCCCTGAGAAAGCCCAGATGTTGGACTTAATAGGCAAAGACTTAAATCAGCTACTAATAAATATGTTAAAAGAACTAAAGAACACCATGTTTAAATAACTGAAAGTATGTGAACAATTTCCCATCAAGTAGAGAATATCAATAAAGTGATAGAAATTATTTTTAAAAGAACCAAATAGAAATTCAAGTTAAAAAGTACAATAATTGAAATTAAAAATTAACTGTCAAACTTCACAGCAGATTTGAGCTGACAGAACAAAGAATCAAAGAACTTGAAGACAGGTCAGTTGGGATTGTCCAGTCTGAAGATCAGAAAGAATGAAGAAAAAAGAACAGTGCCTCAGAGACCTAGGGGACACCATTACACATGCCGACATAAACATAATGGGAGTCCCAGAAGGGGGAGAGAGAAATAGTTGAAAGTTTGTTTTAAGAAATAATAGCCCAAAACTCCTCAAATTTGTTGAAAAACAATCTACACATCCAAGAAGCTCAACAGTATGGAAGACGGGGAGTGGGGGTTGGGGGGGGCTGGCCCGTTGGCTCAGTTGGTTAGAGTATGGTGCTGGTAACACCAAGGTCCAGGATTCAATCCCTGTACTGGCCAGGTGTCAACAAAACAAAACAAATAGTATGGGAGATGGGGTTTCTTTTTGGGGTGATAAAAATGTTCTGAAACTAGATAGTGGTAATAATTGCAAAGTTCTGAGAATGTGGTAAAACAAAACTACAGAATTGTATACTTTAAAACAAAACTTTATGTTATGTGAATTATATCAATAGAGCTGTTTAACTAAAATAAATCTTTTTTTAAAAGGAAGAGGATTGTTCTTTATATAGGATGGAAAAATCTCCAAGATATGCATTAAGTAAAAAGAGAAAGGAACTTCACAGTATATATAGTATGCCACTGTGTGAGGAGGAAGGGAAAGAAAAATTTGCAGTCATTTGATCTTACATTTAAAAACACTGTAAGCATTCATAGGAGGCTAATAAGGTTACCCAGAGAGCTGAAAATAAGGTGATGATTGTGGTATACAGAGACATGGAGGGCAGCGAGACTTTAATATACCATTTTGAACTATAACTATATGTATTATTTTTTAAAAGACTTTCTAAATCCCTGTGGTATTTAGTAAATCCCTATGGGGAATAGTGGGGGAAAAACACTATAAATAAGTAAATAAATATTTTAAGAATTTTCCTTTCCTATAGGTTGTTTCATAAATTGATGTTTATTTATAGCACCCAATATGTGGCTGATAAAGGACATTTGAATACCTGAAATCTAATGTGGGTAGGCAATTTCCTGACTGTTTTGTTGTTGTTTTTCAAAAATTTCAGTTAAAAATGAGAGATGTTTATAACACTGCTGAACATATTTTCCTCTGCAAACAAAGCAGTGAAGAATGAGTGAGTAGATCATAAATGATATATTCCACGGTCAGGTCACAAAAGTTGACCATAATGTCACAGAACTGTATTATAACAGGGCCATGAGTATAGAATAGACTTAAGTATTTGCTGAACTGAACTTTTTCTAAAGTTTAAGCATGTGGAACAGGAGTTGGCAAACTTTTCCTGTAAAGGGCTCAAGAGTATGTATCTTCAGCTTGTTATATATATCCTCTATTGTCTCTGTTGCAGTGATTCAGCCCTGCCTTTGTAGTAAAGTAGCCATGGACAGTATAGAAACATCTGGACATAGCTGTGTTCCAGTAAAGCTTTTTGACAAAAACAGGCTCTGGGTTTGGCCTGTGGGCCGCAGTTTGCCAGCCTCAGATCTAGAATAATGATTAGGGGAAGAGAGATAAACATATTCTAGTTCTTAACACCGAGAACACTTCTCCCTTTGTTCTGTCAGTGGGAGTGGCCTTTTCTTCTGTCACAAGAACAGATAGTCCCTGACTTCTCTGATTGTGGTGGCAGCATAGAAACTTTTTACAGAATTCGTCTTAGGTCTCAGCATTGAAGCAAAAATCTCTGAAATATGAGTTCTTGAAGAAGAGAGATGCTGCTGGAACTTCAGCTGAAAGACTAAACCATTTGAGTACCTAGTGTCTTGCATTCCCATCTTTGCTACTTGCCATGTTGCCATCGGATATAGTAGGAAAGAACACTAAAATGGAATTAGATCTGGGCTTATGCCACTTATCCGTGTGATGATCTTAGAGAAAAAACTTTCTGGGCCTCAGTTTCTCTAACTGAGCGTTAGTGTCCCAGGTATAATATGAAGAGATTAGACTAGAGATGATTTTTTAAGATCCCTTCCGGATCTAAAGATGGCATTTAGGGGATTCTGATAGCAGCAGACTTGTACCGACATATTGTTCTTAAATCAGGAACTTTATATATAGTTTTTCTGATAAAATTTTGCTTAGAAAAATGTAGACATAGTAATTGTTGCATGTGTTTATCCTTTAGGGGTTGAGATGGATCTTGTGCTCAATGCTGCAGATTATTATTTTTTTACACCATACATATATCCAGCCACGTGGCCAGAAGATGACATCTTCCGACAAACTATTAGTCTACTGATCGTAACAAATATTGGTGCTTTTATCCTTTATTTCTTCTGTGCAACACTGAGCTATTATTTTATTTATGATCATTCATTAATGAAGCATCCACAATTTTTAAAGGTAAGAGATTTTCTAACTACTGTTACAGTAAAAATAATGATATGATGTGTTTGTGAGATTTTCAGGTAAAACAGGTTGTATGTAACCATTAAAGTTTTTGAGACCAGCTCCAAATGGGTTAGATATTTTTATTAGGGCTAATATCTTCTTTCTTTCTCTTAATTTAAACAAATAAATGAATCTAACTTTTTAAAAAAATTATAAACCTCGTATCTTATATTGCGAGGCACATAGATGAGAATTTATTTGCTAATATTGATGAATAAATAAATGCACATATGCAATTATTTAAATGTATGACTTTTACAAACTGAAATACGTTTTTACCATGTTTCTTTTTTTTTTTTTCTTGGTTAGATAGGGGATTTAAACTCTGCGATTTTAGAGTTGCTTTCAGTCACGTTTCTATTTCAGTTTTTTGTGTTTGTCAGTTACTCCAAGCACAAGGGGGAAAAAAAATAGGGATGGTTGGGGATGGAAGTTAATTATGATAGAAAGGATTATTCCAGAAATAGAAATTTAGAATACAGATTTTGTGTGGAAGGAGAAAAGGTTTCAGACTTTAAAATATTTGTGGCATTTGCTCAGTACAAAAGGAAACTTTTTATTACATACCCATTCTCACATATTAAAATTGTAATAGAAACAGTTTGGAGGTAAGCCCCTTCATATAAAAGAGATTTTAGAAGTCCAGTCTAAAACAATTTTATTTTAGTTTTGTTTAACATAGATTTTGTGATTTTTAAGTATTGGAAATTTCATTTTCAGAATCAAGTCTATCGAGAGATTAAGTTTACTGTCCAGTCCTTGCCATGGATTAGTATTCCTACTGTTTCATTGTTCCTGCTGGAGTTGAGAGGTTACAGCAAATTATACGATGAAATAGGAGAGTTTCCATATGGTAAGTAAATAACACAAGTGTGAGGAGGAGAGTAGCATGAGCACAGGTTGGTTTCTTTAAAGAACCAAATCTGCCTCTTTTTTTCCTTCTTTTAAAATAATTACAAGTTCAGTTGTTTTTAATATTCTGCTTTCATGCATTCATGTCTTGCCACATACGTGCATTTCTTTAGTTTTGTCTATCAATTTTAAAGTCTGTTGTAGATGATATTGTGCCTGGGGGAAGACTGGAGTGATCAGTCTGTTTCCTATTATCTTTACTGAATTCAGACTTCTAAAAAAAAATAACTTGAGAAGTATATGATAATTGCTTTCGAAAATCAGAAAATACAGATTTTTAAAAACCCATTATCCTGCTACTTAAAACTGTAAATCTTCTGGTCTGTATCCTCCCACTTTTCTATGCCTGTATACGTCATTATTTACATGAAAAAAAAATCCTACTGGCTTAGATCTTGATTTCTTTTTTCTCTTAGCAATATATATGGCCATATTTTCATGTCAATAAATATTGACATTATATAGCGTATTACTTATACTAGTATATACAATATTAGTCATTGAGTGGATATCCATAATTTATTTAAATGATCCCTAATTATTAGGCCTTTAGATTGTTTACTTTGTTTACTATTATAAACTGTCATGCAGTGACTAAACTTTTGCGGAATTCTGAAATTATTTTACCAAGGTACGTTTTTCATATCTAGTATATTGAAAGTAAGAATAATAGTTAGCATTTATTGTTAATAAGTGCCACCGACAGTTCTAAGCTCTTTATATGTATTAATCCATTTTTTTCTACAATTCTATGGGGTGGGTACTATTACTGTGGTCCCTTTATAGGTAAATAACTTAGGTATACAGAGAGTTTCAGTAATTTGCCTAGGTCACTTGACAAATAGGTGGTGAATCTGAGACTTGAACCCAAGCTTGCTGGCACCAGCAGCCCTGCTAAGAGATTACTTACTTAGAGGAGGGAACAAAAATTATACACTAGGGTGATGAATTGGCTAGGCCTTGAAAAATGGATAGGATTATGAGTAAAATAAAGGGAGGGAGGGCATCTAGATTTTTGGAACAGTGTGAGTAAAGATACAGAGGTAAGATTTTCAGGACATTGGGAGGACATTGAGTAGACCAGTCTGGTTAGAGCAGAATTACAGGAATGGTGAGGTTGGAAAGATGAGAAAGGGTTGAGTTATGAAGTAAATGCTGGATTTAAGGTATTTAGTGGAAAGTAAAGTTCTAAGCAGGGAGATAATGTGTAAAGATATGTTTTAGGAAGATTAATATGAAGGAAAATGATTAAATAGCATTATTCTCAAAGATTTAAATAGTAAAGATGCTTCAGGACTGTCCTTTCCTGCTCACATATATCTTTATTGTTTAAGAAATACTTTAGGTGGGACATTGCAAGTTCTTAGGAGAGGGAAATGAGGAAATGACCAGGTTCTGGGGAGTCAAGGGAGATTAATTTACAATGTATTGCGTTAGCCAGAACAGATAGTTTATAGTGTTTGAGTCTGGGATCCCATTTTGCATTTAGATAGACATGTAAGAAGTGAACTCTAACCCTAGGAGCTGAATCTTGATTCTTCTGTTCCCTGTTGTCTCTTCTAGGCTGGTTTCAACTTATTTTTAGTATAATATCCTTCCTCTTTTTCACTGATATGCTGATCTACTGGATTCACAGAGGACTTCATCATAGACTCGTATATAAGGTAGAGTCATTTGTAGGGAAGAGTAAAAAATAGTACACATTTCAGCAGTGTATGATTATAAATTCTGTTCTCCATTTCCAAGAATTTCCTGTAACTGTATTAAATGCCTGAGTAGCAATAGTCATGACATGTACTAGGTACATTTTGTTCCTTTTCTTTTTTATGGGTCTGGAGGAGCTATCTTAAAATTTTACTGTTTTGAGGTGAAGAAAGAGGGGACTTTATAAAAAGATTTTGCTGATTTCAAAGGGATTTTTTTAATTAGGTCATTTTCACCACATGAGTATGAAAAGCTAAGTTGAATGCTGTACTGGGTAAAGTTCATGGTGCTAATTGTGTCCTTTTCTTCTGTAGCACATACATAAACCTCATCATATTTGGAAGATTCCTACTCCGTTTGCAAGTCATGCTTTTCACCCTGTGGATGGCTTCCTTCAGAGTTTGCCTTACCATATATACCCTTTTGTCTTTCCATTACACAAGGTGGTTTATTTAGGTTTGTACATCTTGGTTAATATCTGGACAATTTCCATTCATGATGGTGATTTTCGTGTCCCCCAAGTCTTAAAGCCATTTATTAATGGCTCAGCTCATCACACAGACCACCATATGTTCTTTGACTATAACTATGGACAGTATTTCACATTGTGGGATAGAATTGGAGGCTCATTTAAAAATCCTTCCTCTTTTGAGGGGAAAGGACCACTTAGTTATGTGAAGAAAATGACAGAAAAGTGCAACGACCATACAGAAAATGGTTGTAAAAATGAAAAATTATCCAATGGAGAGTTTACAAAGACTGAGTAGATTATTGCCCAATTTTTCTTAAATGTTTTTAATAAAGAAAAATAACCTACACATAGCCAAGATACAGAGCAAGTAAACGGTATCATTTGGAAATCAGCATTGCGGGTATGCTGAGGAATAATCATAATGATAGATCAAGAGAGGACGCTGTGAGCACAAAGATTTTAATCTCATGCTTAAAATGCATGGTCCAAGGGACTACTTGTGTCTTTCTAGCCAGCAGATCTGTGGTTTATATAGCCTCAACAACAATTTTAAATAAAGAGAATAAATTATTGAAGGGACTAGGCTATATCCGTTTGCCTTAATCTACCCATATTCATTAAGAAAAATTTCTTGTGCTTAACAGTATCGAGACTAAGCACTGTAACCAAGAAATACTAATGTAAAGATGATTCCTTGTTTCAGGAATGGCTAATTCTTCAGTGTCAGTATGATAATGACCACTTGTAGTACTTTGTTCAAGTGGAAACATCAGTGTGGAAAAAGAAAATTCTGATATATTAGTGGCTATGTAAATTACCTAATTAATAGCAGGTGTAATAAGATTATCATCTTCCTGTACCTGGGAGGCTCATTCTCCAGGGACATTTTCAAATATTAAATTTTACTGATGAGTAAATAAATTGGAATTTTAAAAAATATGAATACTACCATGATTGAATCCAGATCTGGGATTATTCAACAAAATATTTTGGTGGTTCTTATTAAAACCATTATTTAATAAGTGTAAAAGTATGTGAATTTGAATATATTTAGAAAGGGAAATTTGATGTCCAAGTGATACATTGGACACTACTGATATTTTAATTAAACTGATGCACTGCACTTTTGGTAAGTTTCAAAGTTACAAACCTGTAATTTTTTATAAAAGGAAATAATGGCCAAATATTTAGACTTATCATTGAAGATTCATTTTGAAATCTTACTCTCCCTTTTCTTCCCTCACTCCTTTTCACTTCCTCAGTGAAAAGATTTGACAAATACTTTCAGAGTAATGTTATGTGTTGTAAGATATATTGGAAAAGCATGGTTTGTAAAGGCATTCTATAAGCTATTTATGTAAAATTAATAAACGTTGATCATGACTATTAAACTATCAGTTAAATATTGTAATAGCACAAAACTATTTTTGTACAGATTTGGTGTCAATTTGAAACCACAGAAATGATGTGGATTGTTAAAACTTTTAAAACATCCCCAGATGCTCAATATCAAGGGGAGAAAGAGAGAAGGGGTTATCACATTCTTTTTCTATTTCATGTCTTTATCAGATTTTAGTTTTTTAGCAAGAGACCAGTCATAAAATTTAATGCCTGGGATCCAGAAGAATATGTCTTTTCTCTTTGAGTTATTGTACAATGTTGTCTTACGTAAGTGTGCCAATGTACCAATTAGTATTTTGTAAGAGATGAATGCAGCTGAGTGCTTTTCACTAATCCACCCACCCCCGGTGTTCACTTTGCCCAAGAAAAAGAAGGAAATTAAAGAGAAGTAAACTTTGATTCCTAGTAATAATGACAGCTAATATTTATTGAGCTTTTCCTCTTTGCCAGGCATTCTTACAAGCTCTTAACATGAAACTAAGACCCAAAGAAGTTGAGGCTTTTCTAATGTTTATTTCTCTCTCTGATGTGACATCCAATGTAAATGTTTCTAGTCAGTGGGCAGCTTTCCTCATAGTCATTCTGTGACCCGGGCTCCTTCCATCTTGGAGCTCTCCCTTTCTTTCAATCTGTAGAGCCGACAGAAGAAAAAGCTTGTACATGGAAAATTTTTATGAGTCAGGCTGAAAGTGGTGCATATCTCTTCTGCCCACATCCTTTGGATAAAACTCAGTCATATGGCCTACCTAACTAAAGGAGATTCTGGAAAATGTGTCCAGTTGTGTGTCCAGGAGGAAGATGACACCAGTTTCTTGAACAGTTAGCCAGTCTTCCATATCTGTGTAGTTTATTCTCTTTTCAAAGGGAATAAAGGAAATAAAGATGTTGAAATGGTGAATGAGCTCAAAAGTTATTTCAAGTTATCCATGCACTGATTGTCTTTGTGTCTTTAATTTCGTAACTTTAATATGAGTGTTAAAATTTCATCTAGATTCTTACCCCTGTGTAGCTAATAGAGAAGAAAGGACATAATCGATGAGGAAAAGGAGTCTTCCTCAATGTGTTTGGAGTGATCAAACTAGTCTCTGCTTTCACCTTCTCAAATTCTGGTCTTATTAAGCAGTATTATGTTAACTAGTCCTAGCATTTTTTTCTACACTGCCACCACATCCTGTTCTCTATTAGAGGAAATCAGAGAATGTTCATGGAAGTGAGGATCTAAATTCCCTCCTGCAGGAATGTCAAGTGAGAGGCTTTCCCCCTTGACTTTGAAACCTTTTTTTGTTACAGGACAGAAAGGGAAAACTCAAGGTTACATATTCCACTTTTATAATAGAAATTGGGAAAGTGGATGGAGACTTACGAACACATTTCAAAAATCCAGAGACATTTACTGAGTCTATCTTCTTTCTTGTCTCAATAATACTGGATGCTGTGAATTGTTTCTTACCCTCCCACCCATGTATCACGTTTCTTTTTTCTTCCATCTTCTAGAAGTCAGGGACAAATCTGGGAAAGAATTATGAGCTCAGTTTTTGATACATGGAGTTTACAGCAGGCAGGTTATTCATATAAAGATGTCTGGGAAGAAGATGGAAACTAGGGAGACAACTCAGAACAGATTTGGGGATCAACCCAGACAGAAGAAAAGTTTGAAACCATGAGATTGCTACAGAGAGCATGAAAAAAGATATTCAGAGAAACTGACCAGCTTGAGGGGTGTTATGTTCTAATGTGTCCCCCAAAATTTATATGTTGAAAATCACTGAGATAGTATTAAGAGGTGGGCCTTTAGAGGGTTATTAAGTCATGAGGGTGGGGCCCTCTAGGTGCAAGCATCTAATCTGTTCTGATGCTGTCTTTTTAGTGAAAAATTTCTCATTTATTCATTAACTGACATTTGTTGAATGCTTTGGGGGTATCAAAAGGGGCAGTAAAGAGGAATCAGAGATGATCCCTACATCAGAAATAGACTATTCTTTTTTTTTTTTTTCCCCACTCAAAGTCATAACCTTCTGGAAATAAAACTCACCAATACCTTCATACAAAAAAGATCCTCAAAGATATTAGTTGAGTGGGTTTAATGACCTTATAAAAGAGGTGTGAGGGAGCTGTTCGTCACTTTTGCCTCCTGTCCCTTCCACCATCTGAGGGACACAGCATTCTTCCCCTCCAGAGCAAGTAGCAACAAGGTGCCATCTCAGAAGCAGAAGTCTTAACAAGACACTGAATCTGCCAGCGCCTTCATCGTCGACTTCCTAGCATCCAGAACTGTGAGAAAATGAATTTTTATTATTTATAATTACCTACTCTAATTCTATTAAAACAGTGTGACTAGACTACGCTTAACAAGACACTGAATCTGCCAGCGCCTTCATCGTCGACTTCCTAGCATCCAGAACTGTGGGAAAATGAATTTTTATTATTTATAATTACCTACTCTAATTCTATTAAAACAGTGTGACTAGACTACAATGAGAGGAAAACATCCTTTCCTGGTCTTCCTAACTTCTTCAGATTCAAAACACTTGACTGGCAATCTTATTTCAGCACTCACTGCTTTCTGTCAACTATTATTGTACTGTGCACCTTATTTCTTCTAGACCCCAAAGTCCTTGAAAATAGTGAATGTATCTCAGTCATCATTGTATTAAACCACGCATCCTTACAAAATGCCCAAGACATGGTTGAGGTTCAATAAATACATTGCTGAATGTATTAATGGTAGAAGTGTCATTCTCTTCAATACATATTTAACGAACCTCTAGTAGGTGCCAAACACCAGACTAGGTACAAATATTTAATCTGTTCTGATGCTGTCTTTTGAGCCAGCAATTTGTTTCTCATTTATTCATTAGCTGACATTTGTTGCCTTGGAAGAGTCAAAGGGGTAGTAAAGAGGAATCGAAGATGATCCCTATATCAAGGATAAACTATCCTTTTGGGTTTTTTTTCCCCACTTGAATTCATAACCTTCTGTAAGCAATCACAACCCACCAGCACCTCAGATTCTGACCACATATTAATCAGTAATACGATTACTGATTAGAGGGTCAAATGAATCTATACCCAGCACTTAACACGGTACTCTGGATCCAAACATCCAAGTATATCCTCAAAGATATTGGTAGATTACACCAAGAGAGGACAAACGGAGGAGGATAATCTATAACTTCATCTCAGAGGCATTGTAGTGGCCAAGAGCTTTGGAGTTAAATGGACAAGTTTGAGTCCTGCTCTGCCACTTGAAGATTGCATTGCCTTGATTTCTCCATCTGTAAAGTCATGAAAACGCTGGCTACCTAATGAGATTAAACAAATGGGAAGCCCTCGGTTACATGTCAACTGAAGTTATCATTCATATATCACTCATTTCTTAAGAAAGGCAAGAAAGAAGTGTGTAAACCATGTGTCAGTGAGCTTCCCTGTCAGAGCAGGGTTTTGGTATGGAGAGAAATATATGTATAAATACTTGTTTTAATCATTATTTGCTTTATTAAAATACATTTAAAATATGGTTTTTCTTTAATCTCTAGTTCAACTTGGAGATCTTATTGTTATAAGCACAGTAAAATTTGTAAAAAGTAAGAGAAATTGCATTCTCATTTCTTTAACAATTAACTCATACATTTAACCTATCAAATTCCCCTAAACATTTAACACCATTTACATATTTTATTCATCATTTGATAGGAGACTTAATATTTTGATTCAGTCTCCAAAAAGGCAGACTGTGTACTGGACAGATTTTTCTAAGCACTTTGATAACTCACGATTCAAATACACTCAAACATGCTTAAACACAAAATAGCATATCAAAAGTTAGTCACTCAACTTAAAAGTATTCATACCAGAGGCCTTTATTCACTTCTTGCATCATTTATATGTCTTCCTCTATTTTAAGATTATAATTTTACTCACCTATTTATTTAGATGAAAACTTGACCCCCTGACTTGTGCTACCAAACAACAACAAAAAACCCCAGAAATTTGGTGTACATTCAAATATTGACAGCAATTCTGGTAATGACTTTTGTCTGTCCCTTCATTAGGATTTTTCTTTTTGATCAACTTAATGGAGGTATAATTTACATGCAATAAAATGCCCATTTTAACTGTACAGTTCCATGAGTGTTGACAAATGTGTACACCAATGTATCCACCACTCCCAATCAAGATATAGAATGTTTTCTTCACCAAAAAGAGTTTCATCTCCCTTTGCAGTCAGTCATTCTCTCCCCAGCCCCAGGTAACCACTGATTTGCTTTCTGTCACAAGGTTAGTTTTACCTCTCAGAACTTCATATAAATTGAATCAGATAGTATGCACTCTTGTGTTTTGTTTCTTTAGCTTAACGTGTTTTGAGATTCATGCTATTGCATATATATGTAGTTCATTTTTATTGCTGAATGGTATTCCATTTTAGTACACGACAATTTGTCTATTCATGTATCTGGTGAATATTTGGATATTTGATGGATATTTGGGTTATTTCCAGTGTGGGGTTATTATGAATAAAGCTGCTACAAAAATTTGTGTAAAAGTCTTTGTATGGATCTATGTTCTCATTTCTCTTTGGTTAAACGTCTATTAGAATAGCTGGGTCGTAGGGTAGATATATGTTTAATTTTATAACAAACTCAAACTATTTTCCAAAGTGGCTGTACCATTTTCCATTCCCACTACCAGTGATGAGAATTCTGTTTCCTCCACATCCTCACTAACAGTATTGCCAGTCTTTATTTTTAACCATTCTAATTTGTATGAAGTAGTGTACTTAATTTGCATTTTCCTATGACTAATGATATTAAGCACATCTTTTCAAGTCTTTTTTGGTTTTTTACTGTTTTTATATCTTCTTTGATGAAGTATCTGATTTTTGTGAAGTGCTATTGACTTATAAGAATTATTTATATATTGACACAAATCACTCATTAGATGTATGTATTACAAATATGTACTCCAATATGGATTGGCTTTTCATTTCCTTAATGATGTCTTTGATAAGGAAAAAAAAATAATTTTGTTTAAGACCAGTTTATCAATTTTTGTCTTTCATTGTTATTTTATGTCCCAGAAATTTTTGCCTACCCCAAAGCAAACCTGCATTTCCTTTGTGAGAAGGTTTTTGATAATGAGTTTAATTTCTTGATAGATACAAGACTTTTCATATTTTCATTTCTTTGTGAGTTTTAATATGCTGTTTTTAAAGAAATTTTCCTATTTCATTTAAATTACAAAACTTGTTGCCATAAAGTTTGTAATGTTCCCCTCTTGCCCTTTTACTGCCTGTGGGATCTGTAATGACATGTCCTATTTAATTCCTGATATTGATTATTTATATCTTTTTTTCTTGATAAATCTGAGAGAATATCAACTTTATTGATCTTTTTGAAAAAACAATTGCTGTGGTCTAAATTCATCCCCCCAAAATCTATGTTGAAACTTAATTGCCAATGTGATCATATTAAAAGGTGGGGTCTTTAGGAGGTGATTAGCAGTCTTATAAATGAAGCTTCTGAGAGCTGCCTCCCTTTTCCATCCTTTCTGTCACGTGTGGACACAGTATTCGTCCCCTCTGGAGGACACAGAATTCAAAGCATGATCTTGGAAGCAGAGACTGGACCCTCATCAGATCAAACCTGCCGGAGCCTTGATCATGGACTTCCCAGCCTCCAGAAATGTGAGAAATAAATTTCTGTTGTTTATAAATTATGCAGTCACTGATATTTTGTTATAGCAGCACAAACAAACTGGGATACCAACTTTTGGCTTTGTTAGTTTTTCTCTAGTACTTGTCTTCAATTTTATTAATTTCTGCTATCATTTTTTTTTTTTTTTTGGAGACCGTCCGCACCACGCTCAGCCAGTGAGCGCTGTGAGCGCACCGGTCAT